GAGTGCCCGGGGCGGCTGCCAGGCCCTGGAGGTAATTCACGTGTCCCCTCCTCGCTGCAGACCACTGCAGTCAGTAATTACAGCTGTCTCCGACTTCCTTGCCCTCCAGGAGCTGACCTGCTGCTGGCTAGCACTCCCTTTCCTTCCATTATGTTTCCCTTTCTGGGTCCTTTCACAGTGCTGATTTAAGCAACTCCATCTTGAGGGGATGAGATTCTCAGAGCCTAATTGGCCTGGATGACTTTGGTTTGGTTTCTCTCCCGTTTTGTCACACATCGTGTCCAGCGTAGGAAAGTGAGCAGCGCCAGTGACTGGTTTGCAGAAGCAAGGGTGAGCCCGAGTGCGGAGCAATGTCTGCCTGTTCACTGTGTATCTAGCAGCTTCCAAAAGTGAATCACTGAAAAATTATTCATCCTCCATTGGCCCATCTTGCATTTATACAGTCAAGAAGGGGTAATTTGTCTTTTATCCCCACATTTCTAGTTATCTCCAAATTTAAGCTGTGGTCTCTGCTGTGTACCATTTTGAGGTTTAATTTCTTTTAGAGAGAGAAATTGCCTTCACAACATACTTCTATCAATCCAAGCCACATTTGAGAGCTTCACTTTCACATCTCCTGCCACTGGTGTGCCTGCAGAGAGATGCGCCTGGTCAAGCAGGAACATGCATACAGTTACCCGTTGGCAAGAGCGGTGCCAGATATTGGTGCTTTCCCAATTGCCTGTAGAAAGGCAATGAGCTATAACTCCAGATACAAGTGGCCAGTTAGCCTGGGGGGAGTGCAGAGGAAAGAGTTCCTGGGAAAAAGGCAGGAAGGATGGTTACCTTGTCCTCGTTTATTCTTTCCATGGCTATTAACACATTCGGCTTATAAGCGAATTAAGTCACTTGACTTCTGTCAGGCTGTGATCTCTGGCTGGCAGCGGAGTTTGAGGGTCAAGAAACATTTTCCTTTCTTGTGCATCAAAATAAATAGCTCAGCAGGCCAAACTAGTTGAGCTTGGGTAATTAAGGTAAGTTCTGTTTCTGCATTAGGAATTCATGCAGTTCTCTCTTGAAATGATCATGGGGAAATACTGTTGGCTTTAATCTCTCCTAAAGCTCTGCTAAGACTCTGGTAGAATTGTAAGGAACAAAAAACTAGTGGCAAATTCATGGCACTGAATGAATAAAATAAAACTGGAAGGGGATCTATTCTTTAGAGTGGGCAATTTCTTATTACCCACAGTCAATCTACCTTCCACTGGCGCTTTTCACTGTGTAGATGAGCACCTAAATATATACAAAGCGACTTCTCAGAATAGAACTCTGCTTTAATAGTCTAGAAAAAAGGATTGATTTACAAGAAAAGGTGACAAGAGCCACATATTTATTGCTTAGTTGCTAAATGGAGAGCTTTGAGAAGCGCCAGCACATATCAGAAAGCTGTAAACACCAAGGAAGAAGATACGCTATTTCTCTTGAGTTAAGAATGTATAACCTGAATCCACGAGGCAAAATAAAGATCATGTATACCATAAAATAGTATCCCAAGGGACATGGTGCAACACCATCTCTCGAGACACTTGAAACTAGCCTGGGCCCAGCCTGAGTTGCCAAAGAATTGCTCAGGGTGGCTGCTCTTCTCTTCAGAGGACCATAACCAAGTCCAGCACCGACTACCTGGGGGGATTTCTGTGGGACTCAGTCCACTGCTCCACCAGGCTTTAATACGAGCCCTCGGTGAGACATTAGCCTTTTCTGCCCTCAAATAGCCGTGGCTTATGTTTTGTACCTGCTCTGGGCATCGACACCTCTGACCATGAAGTCTGCCTCTCAGCACTGTTTTCTCCCATTGCAGCAACCCCAGGACCGGTGGCAACTGCTTTTTTATGCTAACACATACCCCCGAGCCAAGGATGGGAGTTGTTTGTCCTTTCTTGAAAGTATAGAAAAAACAATGACTTCCTGACTGCTTTGGCACTGGAAACAGTTGAAAAATACTGGTGTGTCTCTTTGAAAATACCTCTCTTGGTTCAGAGCCTTTCTGAGCACTGTCTGAAGTTGCAGTTACCTTTTCTCTCTCCTCTGCGTCGTAGTTGTCTGGAAAGACAGGTTTATTCTGATTTTCCTCATTGATTTCTCTCTCCTCCAAATAAAACTGCCACTTCGCTTCGAAGTAAAACCAGTGCTCCTGATATTCTGAATGCAAAAGAAATTAGTGATGTAGTATTTCATCTCGGCAACATTTTCAGTTCTAACTTCGCAAATTTTAAAGAAAATAACAGTATTGACTGACCAGAAAAACTAGGTATTTTAAAGTAACGTATGTTACGCAGGCATATGTACTAAGAGTGCATTTTAATATTGAGTGGGACATCTAACTGGAAACAGTAGATGTGAAAGAAGAAAATATTTTCAGAATCTTGTACTATTTTTACAGTATATTAAATTTATATTAACATCAAGATGAGATTTTTAGAGAACTGTCTGAGGAACACTCCAAGGAACAGATAAGAGTCAATAAAAAGAGAGAAAAAAAACAGTTTTATGCCATCTTTTTATTCCTTTACTATGATTAAAGAATAGTTAATAATGCTTACAAGTCCTAAATACAAATCGCCTCCTACCTCAGTTATCAGTTTTTAATCACATAACTTCTCCAGTATTTCTATTCTGTTCTCACAGTATTTCTGTGTCATCTTTCAGGAAAAGCCAGACAGGAAAGACCAAAATTTCCATTTGCTAAGGTTAGAATACGTATCAAATGTAGCAAAAGGAATAAATAACACACATCCCTGCTATCTGTGCCTATACAAATAAGCCTTTTTTAATAACAACAGGTCTTTCTCCTTTTTCTGTCACTTTAGGAAGAGCATATCTTTAATCATGTTCAACTTTGCGCATGTCAATAATCTTGTTGAATTGAGTTTATTTTCAAGACAACACTCTGGTTCAACCTTTTCATAAAGGCTTAAAAAGGCGTGTACGTCACACTGATCTGTTAAGCACACACATACGCACCTGTCTGCAGAATTAAGGCCCGACCTAAACCCTGCCCGGGAAGCCAATGGGGTCAGGAATTAGAAATCAGTGAGATGGCAGAGACCTCTAAGTATGCCAAGGCGAGCTTGCAATTCAGTATGGGACTATTGGCATATAGTTTAAATTAAATTTGAGCGTTGCTGCTTTTTCCCTGCCTTTGTCCTGCCTGGTCACTCAGCTGTGTGCTGCAAGTGGCTAAGGAGCGTGCACACAACCTAACCTTTTCTCTGAAGGGTGTACTCTGATTTTGCTTCTTGTCCTAAAATGCCATATAAGTGACCCTCTTTGGCAATTAAGATTTTTAGAGCAGTTCAACTCCATGTAAAAAAATCCAAGCTGCCTTGTAGGACCTGATACTTTCACAAGGTTGCCGGTTCCCCAGCCCCAGACAGGGATGAGCCTTCAATCACGTGGCCCTGTACGCCTCCAAATCCCCAGCAGCCCTTCTCCTGAGTATGTGCCCCAGTTTTGGCTGGTTACAAGGAAGATAGTCATTAGAACCCTAAAAAAGGGGAGTTTCTACAAAAAAATTCGGTTTTTTAGAAATACAAAGTGAAAGTGCACTCACAGCCGTCAGGCCATGAAGAGCATCTTCAGGGAAAAAAATTCCACACGAAGAATACATTGTTTGTTGAAGTAAACTATTGACATTCACTCCAGCAGCTGGTTACAAAACTGCTTATAGAAATGCAGGGGACCTGACAGGTTTCTTTCTGTGTGTCCTTTTTTCCAATTTCCCCCATGACCATAAACAATGAATGCCTCAAAAATGAGTGTTTTCTATGTAGCACCTCAGCAAACAAGGAAGTGGTGGAGGAAGCCTGGAGAAAAGAAGGCTCCGGGGAGACCTTATAGCAGCCTTCCAGTACCTGAAGGGGACCAACAACAAAGTTGGAGAGGGACTTTTTACAAGGACATGTAGTGATAGGAGAAGGGGTAATGGCTTTAAACAGAAAGAGGGTAGATTTAGATTAGATATAAGGAAGAAATTGTTTACTGTGAGGGTGGTGAGGCACTGGAAGAGGTTGCCCAGAGAAGCTGTGGATGCCCCCATACCTGAAAGTGTTCAAGGCCAGGTCGGATGGAGCTTTGAGCAGCATGGTCTAGTGGAAGGGGTCCCTGCCCATGGCAGGGGGGGTGGAACTAGATGGTCTTTAAAGTTCATTCCAACCCGAACCATTCTGTGACTCTATGATTCTAAGTGGGATTTATCCCAATGCACAGGCCCAGAAACAAAGGGATCAAGCAGTTGCAGGAGATTTTAGTCATATGGATGACCTGTAGCATGGTCAGAAACCCCATGTCACCAGCCCTAGCAAGGCTCTGCCCCATCCCTTGAGCCCAGCCTGAGATGATGATCATATTCAGATCTGTGGGACTATCTGGCAAGTAATCGCAACTGAATATCAGAAAGGGATCTTGAGTTGAGCCCTCTGTGACTGAACACTCTGTTTGTTATTGACGGGGGATAATGCAGCTAAAAAAGAGTTTTCTAAAACTGGAGGACTCTGGCAAGATTTCTTTGCAGTGCATCTCACCAGCCAAGGAGCTTAACTTTAATGCAGGAGACTTTCCCTGCTACCAAAATAGGACAAAGCTCAACAATACGGGCACAAGTCGGACAGTGTGCCTCAGGAGTCCAACGCGCATGCCTCCACGCTGAGGGGTCCTGCTGGGGTGGAGTGACAGGGACCTGCTGCAAAGCTGCTCAGAGAGGAGCTCAGTCACGCTAATCCTGCACCTGCTCCTCATAGGTCTTGGCTAAAAAAATCCTGGTGTGCAATGAGGAGCAGACGAAAATGTGGGGTCTTTCAGAAAGGTTCCCTGGCTCCTTTCAGAGTTTGTTGTGGTAGCTTTCCTTCCCAGGTAAATCTTCATTGCTGAATACTCTTGAGTAAAGATTTCTATCGAATTCAATTTTTCTCAACAGCCAATCCTCAAAACTAACAGAAAAAGCTCTTTCCTTGATGTTCTGATGTAATGATACTTGTCTGTCCATGGTAGGTCTCGCAGTTACAAATACATCACTCCCTGGCAAGCGGAAACTAAAATGCCTTTGCCCTTAAGATCACATACATTACTAAAGCAGCGATATCAAGTTCAGTAGTTGTGCTATGCTCAGTTGTTTTAAAACAAGGTTATAACAGGTTGTATCCCATTTGTTCAGAAAAGCAACAAGTCAAGTCTGAATTTGTGGTCAAAAGCTGACTCTTGGTCAGGAGGCTTCTGCACGTGAACTTTCGCTGGCAAAATGAAGAATGTCAGTGGGTTTTCTTATGTAAAATATTGGACTGTGCTGACTGATGAGCTGAATAATTCATATCTCAGCAGTCAGTTTGCCTAATAACCTGCTAAATATCATTTCCTCCCTCCCCCCTGCCCAGCAATCTTTGAAGACTTCCTAAAAATAAAACTGTGCAGTAGGGCATGATCATTGCTGTTTCTCTTTGTATTTTTGCCACCAACATACCACACAACTAACAGACGGTAGAAGAAGGTGACACCACCTGCGAAGAGCTCACAGTCTGAGCAGAGAAAGTGGGAGGACAGCCCTTGGAGACAGGAGAGGGGAGAAAGCAGCAAAAATGGAGACACTGGGGAGTGATATTTCTTCAGTGCCTTTCTAGCTGAACATAGTTTTAAGAAAAGAACTCTTTTGTTTCAGACACGTTACCTGCCATGTGGCGAATGGTCTTCTTGCAGTATTCTTCAGCCATCGGCACAACCTTCATCATCTCTCTTCCCCACTGCACAAGGGGTTTCCCTTGTATTGCGTATGCCACAAAGAGAGCTGTGCATAGGGACCCTAGAAAGCCTGGAATTCACAGAAAACAATGATTATTAAAGCGTGGACTGTGCATTTACCATCATTGTCCTGTCCTTCATAAAATCACTAGTGGAATGCCTCATGGCTGTCAGGTGGATTGACGAATGCAACGTAACCTATCTCTGCCTGTTTGCAGACTGGCTCGTGGCATGTTGAGATTCTTGGCTAATGCGTGGTGCCTGTTGGTTTACAACTTATTTTACATAGAAGGAGGCTTCTGTTCTCAGTGGTGTAACATGACAGAAATTGAGGTAGGGGTCAAAAATAAACATCATCCACTAATGTGATACCAAAAATCTTCTAATTGAAGTCACATGAAATAATTGACTTGCTCAAAGCGATTTGGTTACAAGCCCTATCACCTTGCTTACAGAGTCATCCAGCTCAAGGTCTGTGGTTGATAGACCTAACACTATTTCTGGCTCATTTTACTCTAAGGAGTCAAGTCCATGTCTTACTTGGATAACCGCTTCTTTCCTTTAAGGCGACAAGCCCATATCCCCTTCTTTCCTCTAAGGGAACAAGCCCATGACCCGTTAGAAGAAAGAAAAAATTATCCAAGTAAGTCTGCCTGCCTGACTAGGTCTTCCACTTTGGCTACGAACATACTTCAGATGAACTTTCTGTTGATGGGCACTCAATGCTTCCATGACGTCAGAAACAGAGGGGCTTGTTTCTTATATTTGCTTGTGCTCTTGGCATTCTGTCAAAGGCAACAAAACCAACCCAGTGCAACGTGTAAAAGAAGGTTAAGAAAACAACTCTGTCATTTAAACAAGCCCCAGGTGAGCAAAGTATTGATGCATGTGCTTCTTTTGGTGCATGGATCCAAAACAATTCGCTCATGCATAGAGGTAAGCATGATTTTCGTGTGTTTTGCTGAAGGTAAAACCAAGTGATTTTAGGAAGTTACAAGTCCAGATGAGATGATCACTAATTTCTTCTGCCATAAGACCTGCAATACTGGGTCCAGGCCAAAGGCACGTCTAACCCAGGATCCAACAGATGCTTTCAGAAAGAATAAAAAGCCAGGAAGAGCCAGCTCAAAGGGTCTCACTCGGCTAGACAGCATCTAAACCAATGGCCATAAGGATCCTTGAGTGCCACGTTCAGCGTGAGGGAGGCTGCAGAGGGTTTAGAGGATGAAGCAGAGGGCTATGCCTCACGTAGCCTCCTGCCGCTCACCGGGGAAGAAAGCAAGGCCCAGCCGAGGTTCCTGGCTTTGCAAATAATGCCAGCATGGAATGAGCCTAATTGGTTTGGCTTCTCCACTCCTCAGAGCTTCTGGACTAGTTTAGGGGCAATTTTAGTTACACAGCTTGATTGTTGTTCACAGCGACAGCCATTCTCATCCACTTGCCTGATGCCTGTTGAACTCGGGCGTATCTGTGGACCTTGCATCTGCCTGCAGCAGCGAAGTCTGCAGCTTAAGTATGCATGACACAAGGAAGTACTTCCTTTGTCTCTTTGTTTCAGTCCTGACTGACATGTCGTTTGGGTTTTCCCCATCTTCGAGTTGTGAGAATCACAACTGATGTTTCCCTGGCACCTTTCAGGATGGTAACTGAGGTTCATGGTGGCCCTTCCACCCCTCTCCTCCCTTCCTCCCCACCGTGCCACTTGTCTCTTTTCCCAGCTGAAAACTCCTTTTGGGTGTAATTTCTCCACATATGGAAGGTGTCTGATGGCTTAGACGCTCCTTACTGCGATTTTCTGGCTCTAGTAAGTCCTTTATGAGGTGGGAGATCCAGAACTGCAAGCAGTCTTACCACTGCTAACGCACCGTGGACTTTATGTATTGGCTTAATGACATTTTCTGCTTTGCTTTGAATTCTTTTCCTCTAATTTCATGCCATCCTGATGGCTTTTCTGACTGCTTCAGAACACTGAGCCTGTTGAACGTGTCACCTTTCATTATGGGTTTATCTATTTAAAGCAGACAGAATGAATACATGCTTACATATCATAAAATTATCAGAATGACAGACCTGAATATTCAAAACATCAAATCTATTTGTCTGTGTTTTGTTAGAGTGTTTCATACTCTGTCCTAAAAAATGTGGAGTTAGATTTTTTGGCTCTCTACTTTTACCTACTGTGATTGGATATGACAAAACCTGCCAAGAGAAAAATTATGTTATGCCCTGAAACATAAACTTGCATGATAACAGTGAGTCATCTAGATGTGAATCCCAACATTTGATCAAGGCAAGTGACATGAATATGCTTTGGACAAGACGGGTTGTATTTAGTTACTGGGATTTTAGGAGGGAAAACTTTCATGCCTGAGGTTGCTGTTTGCAACCATATATCAGTAATATAAGTGATAAATATACGTATATACTATCCAAGCAAAACCCAGACCAAGGCCTTGGAGTCTGCAGAGCAGAAGCAGTTTAACCAAGTGAGTTCACAGGAGCCATGTTAGTCTGCCCAGCAGTGAAAAGCAGACTTAGGGACTTCAGCGCACCAATACGTCGGCGGACATTACCTGTGGGATGGTTGTGAGTCATTCGTCCGCATTCAATGCTCACTTCAATAAGTGACTCCAGCCTTTCCGGCTTCCAGTATCGCATCCCTAAACACATGGCTTTTGTGGATGCTCCAAATCCAGAACCTAAAGTAAAAAGATAATGCCAAGCTTTTAAAAGGAGACTAATGATACACATATATGTTGATAAGATGCAAAACAAGCACATTTTATTAATTCAGCTCATGTGTAGGAACTCAGGGAACAGAAACCGTGCAAGGCAAGTTACAAGCTTTGAAAGTTTCTCGCTAGGAATTTTGCTGCTATGCAGTCATCCTGGTTTTACAGGTACCTTCCAATATTCTCAAGTGCTGTGAAGAGCCCAGTGGGTTCAGAAAGCAGTGCACTCTCTTGTTCACAGCACTTGTCTGATTCAAACTTTCACGCCATCTTTACTCATTCTTGGCTGACACCGCTGTTTCGCTTGCTCCAGGTGCCAGCACTAGAAACAGAAGTTTGAGGAAAAAATATGCTTTTGTTATGCCCTTATTTTAGTAGTGTTCAGGCTGAAAGCACACAATTAAAATATTTTATATGAGTATCACTGTTGGTCTAACAATTTTACTGCGTGTTTCATCCTAAAGAGCCCCACACGTAGTTCACAAAATAGTTTCTGCTACATAGAAATATAATGTGTCCAAAAGGAAACTAAAGGCTACAGAGCCAAATCCTCCAAAGTTAGGCAATGTCAGAACTGAGGTTTCCTGTGCAGCCTGAAATTACTGCTCGTATGCACACTCATTATGGTACAGCCTGTACTTCCTGAGCTTGGTCTTGGGAATTTCTGCCTCGTGCGGCATGGAGTTTCTTTATTGAATAGCTAATTCGGTATTTCTTTTAATCCTCAGCATTGTGTGCATGATCCCACGTATTCAACTTTTAAACACTTCACTGAACGGAGAGTTAAATTTACTAACGAGTTTCTCTGCAGTACTTATCTCAGTAATATCAGGATCCCACACAATTTTTAATGAGCTTATCTTCACAAGGCACCAGTGAGGTGATTATCTCCTCTTTGCAGCTGGTGAGCCAATGCCCAAAAAAGCCTTAACTCACTGCAGGCACCCACCCTGAGATGGGTAGGGCTCAATTTTTCAAAGTACTTGGCATTTTTCAGCACTGTCTTTGCTCAATCACACTTCCTAGTGACCTTGGGCATAGTTGAGAGCAACCAGTATTTCTCTGCTTGGTCCCTGGAAGATAAGGGGCATATTTATGCGATCTAATTTTAGCATATGTGGAACCTGCAATTGGAGCACAGCCTCCCTGTCTTTCTCAGACAGGCAGCATGAAGAAAGGCTCTATCTCCACTAGCTGGTACAATGGCATAGTAGGAGCAATCCATGAGCCGGAGTGAATTGAAACAGCAAATGCCAAGGTCAGGGCTTTTAGTCACCTGCCTTCAGAGGAGCCCTCGGCTGCTCCCCTGGGCTGTGCCCGCAGAGCACCAGGGGCTCTCTTGGAGCACAGTGTGCCATTTAATGTCATCCCAAGTGGCTCAAACTCAGGTGGCCTAAAAGCATGAGTGTGATCAAAATGTGGTAGAGGGGGTGACAGGAAGATTTGCTTTAGAAGTACTTTCCTGGGCCAAAACTGGAGCACTAACATAAGCCACCCATTGGCATCTCCAGGTGCGAGAGCTCTCCTCCCCAGAGAGCGAGCACCCTGAGAGAGCATCCTGGTTATGTGATCTAATTAGGTCAGCTGAAGACATTTCTTCCCTTCCTCCCCAGAGCCCAATGTGCAAATTTTGCATGCAATAACTCTTCCAGTGGGTTTAACCATGAAGGGCCATCTACAAGAGGCCAAACATCTGATAAACGTGACATGAAAAGCTTTGAAAAATACCATTTGATTCCTCACAAGCTCGGAGCTTGCTTCCTCCTTGCTAGCCTTTGTGATACCAGTGAAAGGGACCCTTCTCCAGGACTTCTTTGCCTGCTGCTCTGCACGAAAAGTCTGGACACTTTGCCTGCAAATAGTGTGTTTTCTCCTGTACGTCACCTATGTTGCAGATGTAATGCTTGGCTATTAAGGAGCCAGGAGCAGATAAAGCTGTCTGCCTATCCCACAGATCACACAGAAACCACAAGGCAGAGTCAGGAAAGAAATTCAGTCTTCCAGAGCATCAGTCAACTTAATTGGGAGAACATATCTTCTCTTGCTTGCAAAACCAATGTCTTCATTAAACCTTCTGCTGCTACAGAGATGAGAGTCTTCTTCACTATGCAGTCCTGGTTCCTCCGAAGGATACTTTCCATGCTGGTTATCCAAGAGGGCAGAGTGTTGCACTACACAGAACTGCTAATTAAATAACATCTCTTAGTATATCCAAAGTGGAGGATGCATTACAGTAACCTGACTGCTGGTATGAAGGTGCTTGTCTTTGCAGCTTCATCATGTTCCTCCAGCCTAGGAAGTTATTTTAAAACCTTCTGCAGAATTAGACAAGCAAACTCGGTAACAAAAAAATTCCATCACCTGGAGTAACATTAAGCCTAGACAGGGCTTCAGGTGCTTAGCAGCTGTTAGCTCCCATGTCTCAGTATCTGCCATTTGAATCAATGAAGTAAGGGACAGTGAGACTAGTCCAAGCAAGAGGTGAGACAAATGTGTAACAACATAAGGACTGTCCTCTGTGATCAGACCAAAGGTTGACCTAACTGGTTGTGTCTGACAGTGGCCAATGGAGCGGATATTTACGAAAGAGTAAAAGAAAGTACAACGACACTACCCCTTTGTAATAACTAAGCTGCTGCCGATTCTTCTCCCTGATCCAGGAGGCAGCTGGATATTCGTCTTTCTGCTTAATAACCCTCGAAGGATTTCCCGTGGGTGAATTTGCCCAGCTGTTTTATGAAGTCACATGAACTGTAGCATCTGCAAATTGGCATTGGAAAATTGTTGTGCAGATTAATTAGGAGTTGTGTGAAGTCCTTCCTTTTGGTTTCTTTGAACTTCTGACTCGCCAGTTTCATTTGAAGTCCCTAGCTCCTGTGCTGGAGGAGTCAGTGAGTTTTCTCAGTCCCTGTGCATGTTCTCCAAGTTATCTACGACTTTACAGCTCTCTGTCTTACTGTCTCAGACATCACAGCCTATGGAAGCAGTTTTTACTAATCCAACCATCCTTCCTCTTATCCTTTCTAGTTCTCTCATGTCCTTTTGGGGAGAGGGAGGGACGAGATTATATGCAATAACCAAGAAACAGCGGCTATGGATTTGTAGAGTGGTGCAAACAGGTTTTGTGTTTTGTTCTCTGTTCCTTTGCCAGTCATTTCTAATAATCTATTTGCTTTCTGGCTCTTAACTGAGCACAGAAGCGATGTTCTTGTGGAACTACTGTGGCTCCACAATCCCTTCCCTGAATGGTAACTGAATCAGCAACTGCATCTATGTATATTAAATTAGGATTTCGCCCCCCCCATGTATGACTTTCAATTTACCTGCATTGCATTTGGTTCTGCTACTGTGCCATACAGCTATTCATCATTGTGAGCATCTTCCACAACTCTGCACCATTTTATCTTTGACTTCGCTGACCCACTATGCACTTGCATTTCCAGATAGTTTATGAACGTGGTGAACAACAGAGGTCCAACACAGGTATCTCCTTCTCTATGGAGAAAACAGATTGCAATCTCCCACTCTTCATTTACTGTCTTTTAACCAGTTGTCTATCCTCAGGAGAATCTTTCCACCATACTGTAACAACTTAGTGCCTCAACACACAGTGCCTTTGGTGAGGGACCTAGTTGAGTGTCTTTTGGAAATCCTCACAGACCATCTTCACAGCATCTTCTTTCTACTCCTGTTTCTTGGCTACTTCATGAGCTTTCTAGTAGATTTCTGAGGTGTGACTTCTCTTCACAAAAGCTGTGTTGACATTTTATTGTTACATAATTTTCATTCATGCATGACATTATTCTCTTTTAGTATGCAATACCTCAGTGTGCTTTTCTTTACCCTACATCTGTGGAATGACAAAGTTCCGCTTAACAGCTGTTCAGCCCTGAAGAGGATGTCTCTTTTGTGACTGCAGGCTGTTCTGCATGAGAACTTAGAGGCTAGCTCCTTTATCTCCTGTCCCTCTGTGGCTTATCCTTCTCTTCACGTTTGCTCCCCAACTTTCTGCGTTTAACTCGTGGTTTTTTCCTCATGCTCTTCTACCAGTGCCACCAGCAAAAAGGCACTGCTCTCAAGCTCTTCTAGGCCGCCCAGCAGCTGCTCTGGTAGCTGCTAATAAAGACCCGCTTGGATGCTGCAGCCTCAGCCTGAAATACGTGTGATACAGGTAGAGCCAAGCTGCCATTTGATTGCCCTTTCACAGTGATTCTGAAGGCACGTCTCTGGCTCAGGGGCTACCACCTTAGTCAGATTTTGATTCCAGCTCTCAAACATCGGCTCTTTTCTTCTGAAAAAGTTCGAGTTTTTAGCAATGGAACAAAACATTTTTACCATGTCTTAGAAACAGCAGACTCATCTGCATGATAACTTTAAACAAACGCTGACAGACCCACAGAGGCAAACACTCAGTGGTGAAAATTTCAGCCTTGAGCTTATTGATGTCATGAACCGAAAACAAGCTCTTAAAATGGAAGGTATTAGACAGCCTTGGGCAGGTCTTCTGGCAGTCACAGGAATCTCGCCAGCCTTTAACATGATCTGGGTACCTCTGCAAGGAGTGTGGCAATGAACATGACATGAAGTGGCAGAGACACACAGGGCAGTTTGACTTAAGAACTCAGTGTGCTGACTATACCCACAAGAATTTGAGCAGAGGAGCTGCATATCAGCAATTCAAAATTACCTAAGCTATGATGTCTTGGTTCCAGACCATCCAAGATATCATCTGACTGCTAGGCATTCAATGCCCATGGAATGTTTTTATCTCAAGAAGAAATCTGTGAAAATTCAATTAAAAAGGTTATTTTGTCCATAGCAGTGTCAGGCCCCACGGTAGGCTGAACATCTGCACTTCAGGTCACTGGTTCTTTTGCTCTCAGAGTGGAAAAAAGGCTTCTTGAGATGTTCAGGATATTGGTCAGATCAGATGGAAAAGATGAGCTTCAGCTGCCAGTTCTCAAGCCAGGAATTAATTTTAGAACATTCTAGCCCAGAGTATCCCAAGAGCAAACAGTTTGTCATGGAAAGCTGGGGAGGAGGAAGGCTAAAAGAAGAGGTGTGGTTCCAACACAGCAACAGGCCAGGGAACAGCCGTGCTCCACTGCTGGAGATGTCGAGAGCTGCTCAGGGCCACCATCAGCTCCCACAATCATTTTGACCAAATTTTACTTACTGTCAATTGGAAAACATAGGACGAGTGCCAAAGGGGCACCTTCTCGGATCTGCCTGGCTAATAGCAGGTTGGGCAGAACAAACGGGGATGGGATCCTTTTCCCTCCCAGCAGGTGTTGTAGGGAGCAAGGGCCGAGTGAGGGATGCTTTTTGTGTCAGAAAAAACTGACTGCAGAGACCCAGAAATAGCCATGGCATCGTGCCAGCAGGTCTTTGCCGCGATGTTGCGTCAATGTGCCGCACTACTGAGCGGTGCCGGTATGCACTGCAGTGACAGAGCACCACACCGACAGAGCGCAACGTCTGCGTGAGCTGCCATCATCTCGTGGCTGTCCAGGCCTACCTCCTCTGATGGTGTGGTGCCTCTACAGTCTTTCAAGATTAATTGCACTGCGTGGATATGGGCGTATGCATGTGCACATAGCTGCATGCATGCTGTTTAACTTGAAGTAGAAATTCAATTCATCGTAAAATGAAATTGCCTTGCAGAAAGAAAGAGAGGGTCACGGGTAGGGAAACAGGGCTAGGAACACTGGGGATGATCAGCAAAATGGACATAGTTGTTAGCATGACAGCCACCTGGAGAAAAGTCTCTGCTTTCCCTCCAGTGAACCCACTGGTGCATAGAGCGTTTCACAAGCTCAGCATTTTGTTTCAGATCTGCCATTGCTGAAAAGATTCAAGACTACAAATATTTAAACAGAAAACAGCAGAAAAGATTTCTTTAAATAACCATTAAACTCAAGGACAAAGATCTGGACCCAGAGGCACAGAGCCAAGAACAAAGTCACTTTAAATAGACATTGCAGAGAGAAGGGTTCATTTACGAGAGGACATAGTGCCCTACAGAAGGAATTCCTGGCAGATCTCTTGCCATCCTCAGGCAAACATGGAAACGTTTCAGGGCTAGTAACCTTTGATGTCAGGGGGGAAAAGGAAAAAATTTCCATACAGCCACAAATGCCAAAAGCATGCATTATTTGAGCCAGGACCTACAAATGGAAAGCGGTACCGTACCCTTTTCATTGAATGGTGTGTGCCAGGCGAGAAGGTAGTTGTCTGGTTTTAATTCCCTGCAGCCTTCAATGGTAGCGGGGTCTGGCCGCCTCCCCGAAAGCTTGTCGACAGCATCCACATAGCGTTTTACCAGCTCCCGGTACAGGTCTTCTAAACACCAGTAATCTGCTCAGAGGAGGGAAGAGAAGGTTGCTATGTGAAGGCAGAAGAGCAAGGGAGCCCTGAAAACAAACAAGCAAAATCACTATGCGTTTAAGAAATGTTCCTTTTCCCACTTCCAATACACTGAATCGTGTTTCTGGTGCCAATCAACAAATTTTTACACACCATGAGAGTGGGCTGGAGGAAGAACAGCCTTGTCTCTCTGCTCTCGTCTTTTCCTGCATTCCTTTCCATTTTCAATGTCTCTAATTGGAAAGATGAAGGCATTCTGTTTGTCCACTGTGGGGCTTTATTTAGGTTCCTTGGTGTGAAGTATTTACAGAGGTGTCTAACTGCAAGGCAAGTGCGTGTATTTTATATTTATCTGTATTTTATATTTATTTTGTCTCAAATTTGTAGGTCTTTCATGCAGGGATCCCAATATCTTATGTCAGTACAGTAACCAGAACAGCAAGCTTTTGTAAAAATGATTATGAAGATCTGTAAGAGCAGAAAATCCCTACAGTCTGTAGTATTTTCAGCAGATAGATTTCTTTCCGGAATAAGTTCACTAGAAATATCTGTTTATTGATTGTTTTTACAGTCTTGCCCGAGGAAGAATCTTGCCCTCATTAAACATACGCTGTTTCTTCAGTACAGCTGCTTCTCTCGGCTGCTGTTGTGTGTCGCTGGGCTTGAAGAGCCCTGCCCTCAGCTCTCGCTGAGGAAAAGATTCCGCTGGCTTCTGTTACGGTTGTGTAATCAGTGGCAACCAAGGAGGCTGTCGGCATTTGTCCATTTATATCTTTTCTACGTACTTAGAGAAACCCCACCCAATGTTTGGTTTCACTCACAGATCAAATGACGCAGCAGGGGAAGTTCTTCCAAAAATATCTTCATTTTGTCAAAGATCAGTGATTTCTTGAAATCCACAGGAAAGGTTTAATTTAAGAGAAAGTTCAGAGCCCCATAAGCCAGAGCCACTCAAAAGTACCAGCTAGGCAGACAGGCAAGTAAAGAAGATGCAGTGTAAAACCAAGATTCTCCCCCTTTCACATAAAAAAAAGCCCCTATCAGCTACACTGGCCATCCCACATACAATCCCAGAGGACTAAGATACTTCCAAGCTACCGACTCTTTCCAGATTTAGGAATCAGGTGTCAGTTTATCCAGATGGGAGCCAGCACCAAGATTTACTGCCTGGCAGCTTCTGCAGAAGCCTCGTCCGCAGAGGCAGAGCCCTGTGGTCCAGCACCTCTGGGCTGCCCAAGCCCACCATGGTTCCCACACCTGGAGCCAGGTTGATGTCTCAGCCGTCAAGTCAATAGGACAGGTTCTTTCTTTAGAAGTAAACAGTAGGTTTTTTTTAAACCTTTGTTTAAGTCGGAGAGGAAAAGGCTTTCCTCGTTGCAGGGGTAGTTCCCCTGCTTTTGATGATGCTGTTTTTGTTTCTCCCTTATAGGACAGGTTCCTGCTGGAAGCAGAGGTTTCATTTATCCTTCATTGGGGCATCAACCTTTCCGTCCGTGCACATGGTGGATGTGGGGAGCGTCAGCTCAGCCTGCAGCAGCACCCACAGTTCCTGCTGCTTCTGGCCATGGCTCTCCTCGGATGCCCTCCACTCAGCCGGTGAAGTGCTGGCTGGAATCACCTCCCCGGGTGAGACCTGCCTTCGTCCTTGACACAAAGCTCCCCCTCACACTCAGCAGCGCCCCGGCGATGGGACTTCACGGCAAGCCTAAGCCCTGGGCATGCCCGACCCAGCCTGCCAGCATCCCACCTGTAGCCAGCGCCGTGCACCAGCCAGCCAGGTGAACGGGGTGGGCGGGAAGTGGGGCAGTGACGGACAGGAACACTTTTATTGCTTATCCCTCGTCTTTTTTATTTTGGCTAGTAATGTTCCAGACACCCAATATATTCTGCAAAATCTCAGCCTCAAGGCAGTGAGGGCTCCCCGCTGCACGAGGAAGGCAGGTTCCCAGGGCTGGTGGCAGCCGTCTTCAGCCTCACAGACCCACATTCACCTTGTTCAGGTTCCCTCCATTGACTTGGATGACTTGGCGGGCAGACTGGGCCATAAGCAAGCCCAGTGGCTTTTTAGCATTCCCCATGCCAGGAGGAGACACTGCTGTGGACAGGAGCAGTTCTGTTTCCCTTGTGGGAAGCAGAGAGAAGGACCCTCTTTCCCCCGTTCATCAACGTTACTATGAAATGGAGATTTCTTACTAAAATTCGCCACACCAGCTTGTTGCTTTCTCACCAGCCCATAAAAGCATCTTTTTAAAAGTCTTGTCTGATCAGGCCAAAGAAATGAGAGTGCAGGACAAACACAGCTGATGGGAATTACAGCTGAGATTTTTTTTCTTTAGAGCCACAGTACTCCTGGTGTATTTAAGAAACAAGATTTATTATTTTATAGTTACTCTAACTGGCTTGATTACCCAGAAGCTATGGTTTTAGAGAGTTCAGTAAGCAAGAAACATACAATACATATTTAATCATAGCCTGTATTCAGAAATCTGTTAGTCATCTTTTTTCTTGATAGGCTGACATCTTGCTTTTATCTTTAGTGTATTAGCTACCCCTTAAGCCATTGGTTAGCTAATAGCCAGGCATGAAGTGTCCAACACACTCTTCAACTGATCTCTACATCCTAAATTTAGAGCCGATTGGAAGCAGGCAGATAAAGCGGTGAAACAGAAGCACAAGGGATATTTCATTGACGTGAAGGATACTTAGCTACATTGTGAGCTTCTGCTACTGTTAATCACCCAGTGTTACGTGTTTTAAGAAAAATCAAGAATGTTTTTACAGAGATTAAATAATTTATTCATTCCTTCTGAAGAGGCAAAGTATTGCTGAATGGTCACTGTCTTCTCGTGTACTTTTGATGACAATCTGGACAGTCTCAGAAAGCTTTAGTTCAATGCGTAGGGTGTTGATGCAAGTACTATTGTATCCTACAAAAGACTATTCCTATCTTAAGAAAAAACAAATGTTCCTTCTCCAACAGCTGTGATTTTAGAAGACATATATTAATAACTTCGACTTTTCTGACAAGCTTTGTTCTAAACCTAGTATGTTAGAATATTTTTTGGACTAAAGACACAAAGCTCTCCTTATAAAGCAAATTGTTCCTTTTCTAGCCTTGCAAGGTGCAACCCTTTGCCCGAGGGGCAGCAAAGAGGAGACAGGGCTAGCGACTGTCGCCTGAGAGAGGTATTAAGGTGAGTCTACTCCAGCCTGGAGTTCTGGACACAAGCATGTTAAAAATGCACTTAGAAGAGCTCTTATCTTTTACAGAAGAATTTCTAGTGGCTATATTACTCCCTGACGTATTCCATCATACAGATAATCGACTTGGCAATTATTTTCGTTATGCTGGACATGTGATATTTTAGTCTTCAAGCTTTAACCAACTGTATAAACCTAGGGAAAACACAGAGAGAGCCCCTCCACGCTCAGGAAACCAAAACACCCCAGCCTGTGTGATGGTCACACGGTTACGCTGACGGAGGAGACAAGCTAATTCACATTATCATTCACATAAGCAGCATTTCTGACACGCTTTCTCACGACTTGCCCAGCACTCAGGCTCATTTTAAGAAATGCAGCAGCTCAACAGGTTTGCTCCTTCCTAGGGTGCGTTCGCTAGCCCCGCCGTACCTACCTGTGATGACAGCCTCTGCGGTAGCCATGTGCATGAGCGTGTTGTCACTCACTGGCCACTTGTCGGGGGAGAGCACCAGGTTCTCCAGCCCTCCAATTTCCTTCAGCTCCTGCTGGATTTTTGCACCTAAGGCATTGTTTTCTCGGGAGAAATTGCGATAACCGAGAGCATCCCCTACCCCAGCCAGAACAAGCGCAGCCTTAAATTTATCCATCCCCAAGGCACTTCCCGCTGCTCCTTCGTCCGAGACAGTCACCGAATCTCGATCTTCCTTTGTTCCTTTGCCTTCGGCTCAGCTCCCCCGACACTTTATATCAGCCATTGTGTCACACCGAGAGCGCTCTCTATAAGGCAAGGACTTCCTTTTCTGGCTCTGCAAATGCCGTCTCTTGTCCGGGACCTGACGGAGAGGAAATATTTCATCACCCAGGGATTTTGCAGGGGCTTTGTTCAATGAAACCGCAACAGTGGACCCGCAAAGCGAAGCGCAAAAGCCTGGTTTCTGCGACCCAGCGTAAAGCAAGGCAGCAAATCCTTAGCCCTACCCAGCGTACGTAACTCTACACCCAGAAAAACAGATGCCTCCACAGGGGTGCTTATTTATTTAATAACTTGTAAATTAATATATTTTCCTGCCCTTTTCTGATATGCTGGAGTCAGCCTCCCTTTCAGGGACCAGTCAGAAGGAAAGCCTGTGAGAAAAGGAGCTTCAAAACTCTGTAAACACTAGAATGAGTGTTAGGCAGTAAGAAATCTAGTCAAATGCAGACAACCTCTCCCATTTCTAATTACGCCTAAAGCGATATTTTGTCAACAGCTTTCTTGCTCTGTTTCACCTGTTACGAGAATGTTTTGCTAATTCACTGCACCCCTGGATAAACACTGAGCAAAATACCAGCTTCAATCCCACGCCTCTTACTCCCTGGCAAAGACTGACTTTTTCCTAAGGCGCAGCCCACATTTGGGCTCTGGAAGGAAAGTATTTCGAAAGATGCATTTGAACGGCATCCTGTGAGTCTAATAAGAACTTACTAATTCTAATTCTTAGAACTTCATAATTCTAATTCTAAGCTCTAATGCTTCACTTAATAAGAACTCAGCTTTATTAATACCATCCTTTCAAACTTGATACTTGTGCAATTATGTATCTCATTCTATTATTGCAGCTTTTTCTGTGCTTCTGCCATGCAGTGCAAGAAGGGGCTCTGTAGTCTCGCAGATTTTTGAACGTATTTTGTCCACAAACACATCTCTGTGTAGGCTCAACGTCTTCCTTCAAGGGGTCTGCTGAGACTGACTCAGATCGTGGTTCCAAGTCACCATCCATGCTGTCCTAAAGGCTCACAAATTATTACTACTTTGCATATAGAAATACAAATGAAAACATAAACTTAGGTAGATAAACAGAAAGCTTTGATTCGCTTGACTACAACTTTGACAAAGGATACCTGGGGAGAGGTTTTTATCTCTTTCAGAAAGCAATAGTGATTGCTGTTCGGATGGAAAAGGCCAGCAGTGTAAAGGATGCGTCCTCCTACCACCCAGAGCAATAAGCAGTTAATCGTGGGCTGAGTTATTGATACTTGTCGAAATATCACTGTACTTCACAAGAAACGTTAACACAGTTTCAGAACACAGATGAGCATTGCCATTCCTGTTCTACATTATAAGAAAGAAGGTGGCAAAGTGGTGAATGTAGCCTCTGTTAGTACACTCCTTTTTCTGAAGACGAGGACTTGGGTAACAGAAGTGCCGAGAATTAAGCAGAGGACACTGAGAAGGTGTCTTTGTTGCTAGGAAGGAACAACTCTGCACTGAAAAAGCAAAAAAGAAAAAAAGGACAATTATTTCTTAGGATACCAGGGGCATTATGTATGGACCAGAGAAGATGGAGGGCCAAGCATTCTACAGGCCATGGCCAGCCTGCTCTAGGGACAGCTCGCCGCCATCAGCAAGGATGCCAGCCCCTCTGCCCTGCGTGGCCAGGGGAACAGGCATCACCTCCCACAGCCAGGGCATTTAGACCACACAGAGGTACTCTCAGAGTCACCCCTGTGCTGCCAGAAGCACTTTAGGTTCTGCGTGTCTGAAAGGGAACACTCAAAATGGAAAACTAAGGCCAAGGCAGCTTACAAAAAACCACACCAGGCATAAACACTGATGTTGATGTCTGCGTTCTGGGTCCATACACCTCCCGCGGCACCCACCGCTGCTGTGTTCCCACGGAGCATTAGGATTTGGAAGCACATCGAAATCTGAACTTGCGAAGCAAGGATGGGAGAAGTCACCTGCTGAGGCATGGCGGAGAGCTAGCGAGGGCCTCATCAGATGAAAGGTTCCTTCCTGAAAATGGGCAAAGCTATTCTTAGTTTTCCATTTATCTCTTCCTTCTGACTGTGGCTGGCAGTTGCACTGCCCTTTTGCCTCCCTGGACTTTACCCTGTTGCATGCACACTCAGCTGCTTGTAATACGGCCCAAATTAGGAATAAAATCTTTGGCTTTAGAAATAAGGCTATAATGAAAACCAGAGAAAATTTCAGAGAAGCTCTATTTTTCAACTCTGCAAAACAGAACATGCAAAAATAATTTTGTTCTCATTTAATTTATTAATTGCACATTATCTCCTTTTCATGTAGTACTTCCAGCCACTATGAGCTTCCTTGGCAGAAGTAGGTTAGGCACACTGGTGTCTACCCCTACTCCCCTCAAAAGAGACAATTATTTGTAAAATATCATATTTGCGTATCTTAAACACAGCAAAAATATAACAACTCCATTAAGATGGATAAGTCTTCACTTATCATACATATTCACAACAGGAAAAAAACCCAGTAGAGCTGGCAAAAAATATTTGGTAAATGTTAAATCAGATAAAAATGCAGCTTTGGCATCCTCTCATTAGTGTACATCACTGCTTTCAGGTGGAAAGATTCCAGAAAATAAGGAACAGGAAGGCAGGACAGAGAACAGACTTGTTTGTGTTGGTGGCATCGTGCTGTTTTTTCAGCTCAACTGCATCTGAAGCCCTGTGTGAGAACGCAAAGCGCCCCTTCAGCAGACCTGGCTCCACCTGAGGGGAAGCAAACCAAGCATCTCCACCACCCAGGAGGGCTCTCGAGCCACAGAGCCACTCCTGCTTTATGAAGAAACGAACCGGTGAATGGAGCACGGGCTGAGACTGCTCTGCCAACACAAAGCCCTTCAGCGTTTTAAGTTAAAAGATGGTGACTACGCCCCAAGTACTTCACCCATGAGCGAGTGCGTGAGCGATACTTCTACCATTCAGCAACACTCAGCAGAGAAATGCTCTTGATTCCAAGTTCAGCCATCCAAAGCATGCAGAGCATCCTGGAAAAGGAGGGTTGATGCCAGGTGGGTGTCAGACTTCTGTCAGAGCTGCATCTTTGCAACACAGAAGTGGAGGCTTTCGCTTCGGCAACAGCATCATTCCTTTAGGAACAATACTAATAATAGAACACACTCATTGAGGGCCAGGAAAAAGACTGGTTTTACTCAATTTTTTAATAGTGGGGACGTTTCTCTTGACAGAAAGCCTTTGTCATGACAAGAAGCCTATGGGTTTCCCCTAACAACAACTGGAGTATTCCACTGCCTGTAAAAGAGGCACAATAAAGCACACATGGGACTTTGTCAAGTATATGCACCAACAAGAGGCAGTATCCCAACAATTACACTCAATTGAAATCTGGATGCCCTTTACGTTTCCTCGGGCCTTTCTCACCGAGAGGTGAACATTGTACCCACTTGTCCAAAATACAGAATTTTCCGCATGTGGCTGTAGAGAGAGCTGCAGTTGCAAACACCTCTGCCAACTGTTTGTAACAAAAAAGCCCAGTTTAGAGGTGTCTCATCTTCAACCCAATTCTACTCCGCATACTGTATGTAATGCAAAGGTCAGAAGACATGCTTGGTTGAATGTTCTTTTCAAAAAGTTCTCCTGGTTGTAAAACATTACACTTTCCCCTTTCAGAAGGACTGTGCTGGTTGGCTCAGCTGAGGCAAGCAGCCAGTGCTGACACTTGAAAGGAGAAGAGCTCGCCATGGTTCAAGTATCAGCACCAGCGGTTTTGCTGTTACAGGAGCAGGGAGCCAGTGGCTGGTGAAACCACTGGAGAAGGATGCCAGATGGCAGAGTACAGAGGACAACTTCTTTATTTTGATTTAAACTTTCAGCAGAGAATTAAGGACAGTTGAATACATACCTTGAAGGGCTTTGCAGAGACATCTGAGCATGCTGCTTCTCCTACAGAGCTCAGAGCCCAGGACGGAGCAAGACTTTCCCTGCAGTTACACCTCTCATTGCCTTTACAGACTAACGACACAAACTGGAGAGCGCTTGGTCGCTGGCAGGTACATGTAGTGGATGCAGCACTGCAGCTAAACGCAGCGAGCTTCTTAAAAGCTGAAGGGTGGCACAGATGAGCGAAACAGACATTTCTTGTAACTGCTCAAAAATTCATGAGTTACATCCTTGCCCCCTTCTGACTGATGGAATAATAATGAATCTAATAAATTAATGACAAAACAAAAAACCAGCCTTTGCAAGGCTTCCAAAGCAGAAAGCTGACAAAAACCATTCAGACATCTCGCATGACTGACTTCAACCCTTTATGTCGACAGTCCCTTTATTCCTTTTTCCATTGCCACAAAATTTACACACGTACAGCTTACTCTGCAGCAAATCTCTCAGGTGCATTGAATGAGCAGATGCCTGCAGGTTTGCTCTCCTTGGCATGACATACATGACAAATTACATTTAAATTTAGAATTGGCAAGTACAAATCCTCTGGCTCAGTTTCAAACACTCCAGACGTAAAAGCAAACAACTTGGCACCAACTTTAAAAATACGTACAGCTTACCCAGGAACTAATACCGTATACACTGAATAACTTGAAGACATCTGTACCATTTATGATTATAAATTGATCAGCCTAGATGTTACCCCTGCACCAGCTTACCTAAAAAGCGAGTCAGAGTACCTTGCAAAGTGGAACAGTTGGCAGCAGCAAATTATTAAAATACATAAGGAAGTCATCACTTGAAAGCAGTTTATTTGCATTTATTTTTACAATTGTTTCAGTGTGAAGGTGTTACTCCGTGCCATCATTTATGGGAATGTAAAAATGCATACATGGTTTCAAATGGGTAGAAAGCTAGGAAGAACAAAAGAAAAAAGCGTACTACACCTAGGAAGCTGGCTGATAAGGAGCAACTCCTCTCTTGAGAGTATTTTGCCCAGTCTTCCTCTGTTGGAAGGTGTCTTCCATGAAGGATCCTCTCAGGAATGAGGCTTAAGAATAAGTGAATAAGTGTGTGAAACTGAATACTGTGCTAAGCACCTTCCTTCTTCCTCAGATTAACAAGGCAAAAAACCCCCTCAACTTGCATGCATTTTTTATGCTCTATTTATTTTAAAAGGTAGAAGGATTATCAGGTTGATTTGAAGGTGTTCTCAGCCTGAACAAATGTTTCACAGGCTCTAGCGCTATGAAACTTACATCACATACCAACAGATTAAACTACTTCTGGTCAATCATATTACAGCTATATATTTTAAGTGGCAATTATGTGAATAACAAGGATTCCACCGCTTTTGGCTGGATAAATGCACTTGATGTTACACGTTCCCCAAAGCCTACAGGACGGATATAGAAATGGCTTGTTTTGCGAAGGAAGAGTAGGTAACTCAAATGCATTAAAGAAGAGCATCATGTGGTTTTTAAATATCCGTTGACTGCGGTATCTGGACTTCACAGAATGGTAGGGGTTGGAAGGGACCTCTGTGGGTCATTGTAGTCAGAACGTGAGGATTTGGGTTAACATAGAGCGGCAGGGGGGGGGCGGCCGCGGCGGGAGCCACTGACATCTAGTGGCTGCCACGCAAGGCCCGACAGTTACAAATCCTGCTTGGGGTAAGAAGGCTGCCACTAATGAATCACCCATGGGGCGTTTGTAACTTGCCTGCTATATTCTTATTACCAGAAAATTTTCTAATTTGTTCAAATTTGTCCTAATCCTGCTTTTTAAACTCCATGTGCAACCGAAGTTCTCCCAGGTGGAAGAATGCAGGTAATCGCTCTGTACACAGCACGTAATTTGTTCTTGTAGGCTGCACTGACATCAATGAAAGCCGACTGCTTATATAAAACTCTAAATATTAGAGTTTAAGAGAATATTGTAAGCTTTTATACCCTCACAACTACAAAATAGTATGCTGTCATGCAATACTGAAATGATCTGATGTGATCCACAGATACAAATTATATAACTTAATGCACTACTTTCTCCAAAATTGTTGCATCTATTCAGCTCTGATTACAGAAAATAAATTAATCATAGTTGTACATGCCCTTTAGCAACTATTTGTTTTAACAAACTTTACAGTGGCTATGACAAACTTATTTTGATGAGGTAGCGTTTAAAAGAGCCCTGTGTGAAGTTGTGTCGAACAGTTTCTAAGTAAAGCTTTTTTGTGCTTAGCCATTGGAAGACACTGTGGAGAAAGAGAAGACTCACCTCCGTACACTTCATAATCGACAGCTGGTGAAAGGGGAGAAGAAAATGACTGGACAAATTCAGATTTGGTGAAAACTGGTCCAATTCCACTAGCCCCGAGAACAATTATACTGCATAATTTACTCCTTTTTTTCCCCCCCTTCAATAAATGTTACTGAACACACAATACACCCAGAGGCATGAATGCTTATCATCATTAATTACCTCAACTATTTCTCCAAAGTGGAAGCCAATTAGTGAAGTCTTTGGCCTTATTCACATTTATTTTCTATGACACCTCACAGGGATTGCATTTGTAACTATGTTTCATTTAACTCAAATTTATGATATGTTTCATGCTACAAATAAAACTAAAAGTTATATTCCACCAGTTCATGATTTAAAATAAAGGAAATAAAACACATAGTTGAAGACTAACTGAATTATGATAGACAGACATGAATTATAAGAGCATCTTTGGTTGTTTAATGTCTGCTTTAAAACGGTTAATAGAAATAGCTGGAGTTGCAACATAGCATGGAGCAGCAGCCCTTCCTCAGCAATACTACTGTTACATGTCCAAGCGCTTTAAGAAGAATAATAATGAGGCAGTTAATCTCACTGGGAGAAAACAAAAGGCTGGATGCAATCAATCTATATACATCTTGGACTCAAAAATATAAATTTAAAATTTTGCAACAAGTGAAAAAAAATAAGTGTTTTTTCGTTTTGCTACAATTCTATATTAGGACAGATCCACAGAACTAACCTTTATAAAAGTACAACATACTGCATAAGTTTTATTTAGGGATTTAATCTATATACCACAAATACTGCTTTTAATATAAGTACAATATAATACAGTTTTATTTATGTAACTGCTGGTGTTCACTTTGGATCATGAACTGAATGGCATGCTATCCTGTCAAAACTTTAATAAAGTGGCCTCTAGTTAAACTTCTCCAAAGTATAAAATCATGCAAAAATCTACATCCTATATGATACAACCAGTACAATAATTGAAGCCAATAGCCTGCAAACAGCCTGGACTATCTTCTGAGTTTGCTCTTGAAGTGTCCACAAGTCAGCCATCATTCTCTTCAGACAGAAAGGAAGAATTTCAGTTGTGTTTGCAGAATCCCATCACGACCACTGAAACCAGCAACAACGTGCACAGATATCAGTCAACAAATCTTCATTACCTAATGCAGTTCAGAGCGCACGTTTAGTCCATATTGACAAGTCTGGGGTTAGGAAGTTTTACGTTTTCCTCCTGTGACTACCGGTCGTGCATATTCCACAAAATCATCTATAAGAACAGGCCACGCTCCTGAAGAGAAGTCAAGCAATCCAGAGATTAATGGATCATTATCAGCAGCAAATTGGTGTAGCCTCTAAATACAAAGGATGAGAAGCTCACTTGGACATTTCTGCCCTAGTCTAGCTTTAACACGCACGACATGATAAACGCTTGAAAACAAGCACCTAACTAATAAACATTTGAATCTCTTCTTGCAGCAACAGTTAGTACAATAGTTTAGTACAAACAAAAAGTATTTAAAGCATAATTCACACCACAAATTTTATAAATATTAGATGATCACAAAACCATGGCATTCCTATTCCTATTAGAGCCACTCATAACTTACAAAATATTTCTGTACACAGTCATTCCAAAATAGAATTTGCAGGATTAGTGACAGAGCGTAAATTGCTTTTAGGTTAGTAAAAAAAAAAAAGCTCATGTAGACATTCTTGCAAGTAGAAAAATGATTTCTACCCTTGCAGTTAGCAGTACTTTTGTACAAAAAAACACAGTTTCAGTGAGACTTCTGTGGCTTAACAGGTTCAACTAGCATGTGCTGTAGCACGATGTGACAGTATCTTTAATGCTATTTACATATTACAGCCAACTAGTTAACCTTATCATTACTGTTTTGGCAACAAGCACAACACTATATTTGCAGCTAAACCTCTAGGAGTAAACAAATTAAGACAGAAGGTAGCAGCATGTTCTGTCGTTCACTTACAGCAATATTTTAATTCTGCTGTACCAATTTTTGAAGATATTCAAGTACTTCTTACCTTCTTCATCATAGTTGGACATATCATCTGCAATCATATTTCCAAAGTCTAACAAAAGATTCCAAGTATCTTTTGGAATTGATCTTTTATGATGTTCCTATAAAGAAGTAAAAATGGTACTGTTCAATCCAAACTATTTACAAATCCCTCAGTAGTATTTTATATTGACATATACAGAAATACACATTTTGCAAGTATTTCTTCTTCCTTTTTTTATTCCAAATAAAATTCAGAACTTCTAAGTAAAGCTATAGAATAAACTGCAACTCAGGTGGCAAAAAAGTTTAAGTTCTTTTGTTTCTTCCGATTGCTTTTAGGGTACGTGTTCCTAACTTGTTACAGAAAACAATAAGCCAAATGTACTTTATACTTCTACTTAATAGCACCCATTCCCTGTTCGGAAACTATGCAGCCACCAGTTAGCATTCTGGCATTTCAATTCGAGTCCTTTTTCCCCTCATCCCTTTTCACTTACACTTACCCAGTCTCTTTCAACCAGTTGGTTATAGCTGCACCTCACTCTTCCCACTTACTCCCAGACTGCCTTTCTGCCTCCATCACCCCAACCTCTCCACAGCCATTCTCTCCTCCACCATAATGCCCTGCCTGCATTTGGTCGACCTCTGCCCAGTCTCCCTTTCCCCAGTCTGCCCTATTCTCCACTACCACTGCCTTGTCAGATTTCAAGCGCACTCTTCCTGCACCCCCCCACTCACAAGTACCAGCTGCCACCCTGGAGCAGCACCCCAAAAAACTTCAGTCCCCGTCAGCGTTCTCTCAGGTTTTGAAGTGAGCGCACATGGGGAAAGACAACTGCTAAGCAGCTGTCAGCTACAGGATCAAGTGTCAGAGCCTTCGCACCTCCCTCTAACTGCTGATACTGGTAAGACACCTGAAGGCAGCAGGGGGATTCATAGGGAATTCAGTTGGAACACCAAGTTCTGGTTTGCTGCAAAAAGTTGCAACTGCATTGAAAAGCATGGGTGAAAGACTGATCACTTGACTGGTGAAGGGTTGGGTTTTTTGGTGTTTTTGATTTTGTGTCAAGGAGATTTCTTTTGTTTGTTCGGGGGTGTTTTTTTTTTTTTTTTCCAAGCAGTAATACCCTACAGCATTGAGAACAACAAACTGTATTTCAAAAATCTGGAACTTCATCAAACTGAGGTTGATGTCCAACACAACAGGTGCCCAGCGACAGGACAAGGGGCAATGGGCACAAACTGAAGCACAGGAAGTTCCGTCTGAGCATGAGGAAGAACTTCTTCACTCTGAGGGTGACGGAGCCCTGGAACAGGCTGCCCAGGGAGGTTGTGGAGTCTCCTTCTCTGGAGATATTCAAGACCCGCCTGGACAAGGTCCTGTGCAGCCTGCTGTAGGTGACCCTGCTTTGGCAGGGGGGTTGGACTAGATGACCCACAGAGGTCCCTTCCAACCCCTACCATTCAGTGATTCTGTGATTCTATGTCCTCTCACTCAAGCTGAATGTTGTATCTTGACTGCAAAATACAGGGCAAGCAAACATACCTTCTGGAAAAGGTTCCTTAAAACAAAAAAAAACATAAGCCCCTCTCCCCCCCATCCTAAGGAGTCCTAAGTTGCTTCTTTCTTAGGTTGAATCTAAACATTTATTCTCAAGTAAACAATCAGGTTAAATATTTGCAGCAAAGTAAGACACTTTATACCAGATCATCTAGCTTATTGCTTGAAGTAGAGATCTGCAGAACTGTCTATTGTAACCAACTTGATCACATAACCAAGTGGGGAAAAAGAAATATTACGACTTTTCTTCAGTTACAGCTATAGATCTTAATTTGGTTGTGTGAAGCGTATTAAGGCAGATAAAACGTCAAATGTTTTCACAAGTTCTCTTGATGAAACTGGTATATTCTTCAGTGAATAAATATACTGTCCAAAATTTAGAAAAAATTCAGAAAATATTGCAAAAAGTATACACTTTCCATATTCAGCATTGGTGATTGAGACAAAATGCAGAAAGATTTCTTAGTTCTCCTGAACTACAGACAAAAAGATAAACTGAAAAAAATCAAGATAAATTATACATTATGTAACATTATATAAGGTATTTTTCATGCAAGTACATGGAGATGCAAATGTAGAAACACGGATGAATGAACCAAGTCTTTAATAAGAAAATTTTGTGATTTCTGAAGTTTAATTTATGCATCTTTACTCATCAAGATCAGTTCACAACTATTATCTAAAAAATGAGTCAAAATAATGACTCAGACAACAACTTTCACTTAAAAAGAAAAGTCTCTCAGGTTAAGTCAGTCATAACAGAATCGACATTTAAAAAAAGACTGAGTTTATGCATTCACACCACAAAAAGCAGAGCATGGTAAAATACATATTTGACAATAATCACAGCTGTCTTGAGAACAAAGACAACGTAGGTGCAATCTACAAACACGGCTTCACTTCATGCAGAAGCTTTCATAAGTAGGAGGATACAGGATCAAGGAAGCAGAATGCTCTGTTGCTTTGCTACATCTTTCTGCATTCTTCTCAAGTAGAAAACGACTCAGGGAAGATTTAATGTGGCTTGATTTAAGATTATTTAGTATCGGTTCTCAAAAAGTAAACGGTTCAAAAGGAAGTATTCAGACATCCTATTTTCGTCTTCATTGTAAGCACACAGACTACAAGCCAGTCTGCTGCGGACTACGATAGTCAGAAAGGAATACGGTACGTACTTACCAACAAAAATTTGTTCCAAAGATCTAGAAATTTAAACCTTCCTGACAAGACTAAATTCCAATATGCAATTGCCATTTCTAGATCTGCAAGAGACAAAGCAACACGTAAATACTGCAGCACATCATACGCAACAGAACTCTTCTGGTTAAAAAAATTAATGCTACATCCAGTATCTTATGACACAAATGAATAACATTCTTTTACAATCACTACAAAAATTATACGGAAGTGCTTTCTACTCTCACTGACCCAAAGGGTGGAAGACAAGCATTAACAGTGTAAACTGCATATTGAACATCACAGTCATAAAGATTAAAGTCTTTTTGTCACCATCCAGCAGTGCTGGATTAATGCCACTTTCAATCTACAGAAATGGAACAACGTAGTTATCAATAACTCTGTCTACAATAAAATAATAATAAAAATATTTAAGAAGATATATGCACAAACACTGCAAATATTGATAGAAACCCAAAACTTAAGCCTGCAAGTGCCAATTCTCGTTAATTTATCACATTTTAGACACATTTGACTTTAAAGGGAATTCAAGGACACTTTGTCTGGGCCACAATAATTCTACAGCACCCCTTACAGCAACAATTCTTCTCTTCCGGAACCATTTAGCAGACAAACACTGGCACCCAACTGTGAGCCCAAGTCAGCAGCCCTTGCTCTGCACCGTGAGCACCGGTCCGAGAGCAGCGCTTGGCTCCTGCATGCCTGCAGGAGGATGCAGAGCTGCCACACAATCAAGCGGAAAAGCAGGAGCAAGATTAGATGCAGTCTAAGAGTAGAAAGGATGTTTTGTTAAAGGGCTGTTGTCATTCTCAGCAACTCATAATACCTCAAGGCTTCTGTGCTTGGTCCCATGGGTAACTGCACTAAACACACACGTACTGCTGTGCAGCCACAGAATAAAGCACAGCCTTTCTTCAAATACATTAAGATTTCAGGTTGTGCTTTCAGCATAGAGTAAGTATAATCAAAATATGAAACTGAATAGAAAGTACGGTCATAGCAGATAAGATGGAAGCTTGACCTCCACCTACAAGGAAGGAGCACGATATTTCAAATTGTACGTATCACATTACAAACCAAAGGACACTGTCACCTGAAACCAACTTTCAAGTCCGAAAGACGTTCCAGATTTTAACATCGCCAGTTACATGTTTCATCGAGGGCTGGGGCCCAGGCGAAGTGCCATAGTTAAGACGTAAAGAAATGCAGTACGCTTGTACCTAGCTATATAGAGACAGGGCTGCCGGGGTTTGTTCTACTACGGTCAGAGTGCTTCTCAGTACAGAACTTGCTTTCTGCCCTCATAAACTTCTTTCAGCCCTTCCTGTCTTTGCCATCACGCTCACTTTTCACACAAAAATTCATAGAAGGGAATAGTTAATAGCATTTACTTGCTGCTTAGATATGCAGATTAATTATTCATACCTGTCGTCCCAAATGAAAAGCAAAAGAAATGGGAAGGGATAAATCTGAATAATCTTACAGGTTTCTAAACTTCACTGTGAAGTGACTGGCTTTGATCCCACTCACTCAGGCTTCATTACGAAGACTCAACCTTTCCAAGCCAATCTCGCAAATCTATCATGTGACAACATTAAGCCAAATGCACTGTGAATAGCAGAACAGTTTTTATACTTCTGATACAATATTCCTTGGAAAAAGAAAGAAGGTCCAGGCAAGGAAACAAAGATGGTTAAAGGTGCCACAAAAAAAGTTAAAAGGGAAAGAAGAGGGCACTTCCTTGGTTTATTTGGGTATCTGTCAAATTTAGTTTTATGTTAAGGCGAACTGGATTATTGTAAAATTACATTCAACGCCATGCATGTGAAATACTATCTTAATTAAGTTGATACTTGAGGGATACATTAAGTGTGTGCGAATTGATTCTCCTGCACAAAGATACAGGAATTATTTGCTATAATGTACAACAAAAGCGCATCCTGCTGAGGATGCTGCTCTGTAGTGGCTGAAACGAGTCCAGGCAGGAGCTGCTCTCCCCATTAAGCACACAGAGGGAAGTCCTGATCTTGGTTAAAATTAGCTCAAGGGGAAAAAAAAAAAAAAGTTAAATCTTCCTCATCTGGTTCACTGCAATCACACAAACTCATGAACTAACACAAGAGACATTTGAACAAAAGGACTATCACTTTTGGTAGTGGTGCTCGTTTATGCAATCTTAAAGTATTTGAGAAAACCAGGACTTCTGGTTTGCTACATTCTCAAGGGATATGCCTACACTTTTGTCTGAAGACATTTCCCTGCCTAGATTGAAAAACTGAGCACTGGAGGAGACAAAATAGGATTTTTCAGCTTTAAGGGGAAGACCTAGTTACACAAACTCTACAGCATTTCTGTTTATTGATAGTACTATCAGCACCCTAATGTAGAACTGGAACTCTGTGTATCTGCAACAATTAGACAGCACCAAAAGATAGTTTAAAAAAAAGAAAGTCTTATGGCACAGGAGTTCTGCACCCCACAGGAAGACGCTTTTGCAAAGCATGGATTTCTTACACATTCTTAGGAATACCTATTTCAATGCTGCACAGATATGAAGGCACCATTCAAAGTAAAATTAAATCAAACTACAACTATGAAAATGTGCTTCCCACATTATAGACTAATAATGTAAGTTTTATAAATGGAAAGGAAGGGACAGACGCATGAATCTCTGGAAACTAACACCTAAGCAAGGACCAGTTCAGAAGAGACTTCACTGCAAACATCTATGTTCATATCCAAAACCTGAAATTACTAAAAGTTAATTTCTAAAGAACATCATAAAAATACCACATCATATACTGTACATTATACAACAGTTTGAGCCTTCCCTTCACCCCAAAATATCTTCAGCGACAATATCTAGTGACTGTATGTCATGCAGCCCCTTCAGTATAATGGCTTTATAGTACAAAATTTTTGCACACACTGAAACAAAGTTTCAATACCGAGATACTCGGCTTTCTGGATATTGAGTCTAGTTGTGGCTATATACAACATCTGTAAAGCTTTCTGTAGTAAAACCCTAAGAACTGAGTCACCTAAAAGGGACACCAATTACCACTACAAAATTATTAAAAGTACAAAAAAAAAAAATTTAAAATGTATACAAGTAAAACAAGTTCAAGAAGGAGGAAAAGATTAGTAAAAGAATGTTTTCATTATTTTAAATATTATTTTGCTAAATAACATTATAGTAAACATGTTTTGGTACATTTTTTGAGTTCTTCACACTTTTGAACTATTTAAACAATCAGATTTTCACCATCAGCAGTAAAGCATTTTGCAAGCAATATTATCTATTCTGAAACATTAAAGCCTCATTCTGAAACTGTTTTTAAAAAACCCTCAGCCCCTTCTACCCTGACTGAACAGAAAGCTCGACGTGATAACAAATTAGCACAATTAATGCAGAAGAAGAAATACATTATCAGTTAGACAGCCTGTGTTTACTTTCAAGATTTGATCAAATGCTTATCTTGTTAATAAAAAAAATCATTATTAGATTCTTGCAGGAATGAAAAAAAAATCGAATTACGTTCCTCATCGCTTTGCTATGGCTTTGGACAAGGGCAATGAAGTCATTGCACACAAGTAATCAAGGAAGTGCGAAAACAGAAAGATAAATCAACAGATAGCAAGGAACTGGCTGAAGAGCAGGATTTATGAGGAACATGAAATGAAGTTCATTTAGACCCACTGTGCCAAAACAGCACTCTGGGACTGCAGCACTCACTTGTCATCCTCTGCCAGAGAGAGCTCTCCAGCCCTCAGCCTGCCCGACCAACACAGCTGTCCACACAGTCATGTCTGAAGCCGTCAGAATATTAAACTAATCCACCTAAATTACTGACACCACTTAAACGAAAAAAAGGCTAAAGGCATTACACTGGCCTCCTAACGAGATTTTAAAATCTTTACATTATTTATAGGAATGCTTTACTACTGGTCACTGTTGCCCTCATAGTCCCTAGTTCACATACCAGCTAGGTTCTTACGGTGGGTTGACCCCGGCTGGATGCCAGGTGCCCACCAAAGCTGCTCCATCACTCCCGTCCTCAGTTGGACAGGGGAGAGAAAAATACAATGAAAGGCTCATGGGTCGAGATAAGGACAGGGAGAGATAACTCGCCAATTACCGTCATGGGCAAAACAGACTCAACTCAGGGAAATCGGTTTAATTTCTTACCAATCAAATCAGAGTAAGATAATGAGAAATAAAACCAAATCCTAAAAACATCTTCCCCCCCATCCCTCCCTTCTTCCTGGGCTCAACTTTGCTCCTCAATTCTCCACCCCCTCCCCCCGAGCAGTGCAGGGGGATGGGGGAATGGGGGTTGCGGGCAGTTCATCACACGCTGTCTCTGCTGCTCCTTCCTCCTCAGGGGGAGGACTCCTCACCCTCTGCCCCTGCTCCAGCGTGGGGTCAGGCATCCACCTGCTCCAGCATGGGGTACCTTCTACAGGCTACAGGTGGATATCTGCTCCACTGTGGACCTCCAAGGACTGCAGGGGATCAGCCTGCCTCACAGTGGTCTTCACAGGTTGCATGCGAAAATCTCTACTCCAGTGCCTGGAGCACCTCCTCCCACTCCTTCACTGACCTTGGTGTCTGCAGAGTTGTTTCTCTCACATAGTCTCACTCCTCTCTCCAGCTGCAAATGGCTGTTATGCTGTTTTCTTCCCTTCTTAAATACACTATGCCACTGTCGCTGATGGGCTCAGCCTTGGGACAGCAGTGGGTCCATCTTAGATCCGGTTGGCACTGGCTCTGTCAGACATAGGGGAAGCTTCTCACAGCCACCCCCACAGCCCCCCCAGCTACCAAAACTTTGCCACGCAAACCCAGTACAGATCTGTACATTATGATGGTAGAGTCTATCATGTTTTAGAGCTTGGAGACAAATAATTTATTTTAATTTCATCTTTTGACATTTACTGATTGTCCCAGTATTGCCTGTTTCTTCCTTTACGGATGTTTAATCTTCTTATCAATATTGTAAAGCTTTGCTACTTTATATGCCGTCTCTGTGAGAGACTTTGGGCAGCTTTTTTGTAAGTATCA